TTTTCATTTACGTCAATACGACAACCGGTCTTTGTTTTTCTATACGCACCTGTAAAGCAAGTTTTTATTATTATTATTATTATTTATCAATACGCAATGAATTGTACTTTTTTTTTAAAAATGGCGATTGATAGAATTTATTTTTTAAATTTTCAAAAACGAGGGCGGGCCCTCGACCTTGACCTTAAATATCTTTATCATCGATTGTAAATTAACGGTTGGTTTATGTTCGAACAATCAATATTATCATCTCTCTCTCTCTCTCTCTCGATAATTTATTATTATTATTGTTATTATTAAATGACATCTTCCATTGTTTTATTTTATTTCAAGTTTGGGGTCAAGTATTTTGCCATTTTTTTTTTTTTCAAGTGTATTTAAGATTTTGTTATCAGTGCTGTTGATGTTGTTGTTAAAAGCCTAGTAGGATTAATTAAAGCCTTTTTTTATCGATAAATTTAAAGTTTTTTTTTTTTGAAAATTTTTTAAATATTTTTCTTTGTTTGTTTTCTGCCGTAAAAAAATTACTCGATCGTCATAATAATAATAAAATTTTTTTTTACGAAACATTAATTATCGTTTAAAGTAGTTTTTAATAGATAATAAAATTAAGTAATAATTACAAGATGGTTTAAATCGTCGTAAAGGGTTTTATCAAAAAAAAAAAAAACAGTTGGCAACAATGGGAAAAAATCGAATTTTTAAAAAAATAGGTTTATGTTGGTATTTGTATCGACGATAATAATAATAATAATAAGGAAAAAAAACAAAGGAAATTCATTTATGTATTCAAATTATGTGTGTGTGTGTGTGTGTCTTCCTCTTGTTTTATTTATTTTTAATATTTATTATGAATTTGTAATGCGAATAAAAAAACTTTATTTATTTATTTATTTTATTTTGCATTATGTAAATTTATTTATTTATTTATTTTTTTTTAAGCTTTACATAATTTATTTATTAAATAAAATAAATAATAAAACTTTAGAATGGAAAAAAAATTTTGAACGTGGCAGAAACTTTTTAATTAAAAAATTTTTTTTTTTTTTTTTTTTTTACTCTATGACACGACGGAAATAATAACGAAACTTTTCTTTCTCTTTTTTTTTGCAGAGAATGTTCCAGACAACGTTGCCAAATTTAAACTTGATCGAGTGGGAGGAAAAAAAAGGAGAAAAAAAGGAAAAATATTAAAGGTATTGTACCCACGAAACGTTTTTTACCTTTTAATCAA